CATTGATTCATGATCAAATGAGATGTGATGGTTCTATGCCCCATCCATTGGGGAAATGGGCAAATTAAAGAGAGCTTACATTGCATATCATGGCAGTTTCTCTACTCCATTTGTGCATCACAATATTTTGAAAACGCAGGCTGGCATAGATATGTAAATGTGAATAACAGGCTTTTCACTGCTTATTGAGCTATGGCAGGGTTATTGTTCAGAAGTCACTAGAGAGCATTGTTTACATTAAGTGTGGATTCTTGCTGAGAATTTAGTTCACAAGTTATATGTTAGCTAAAAGGATCTCTGCTCCCTGATCCATTCCTTTTATTTGTCTCAGAGAAATACTTGTTCATGGACTTTTTCAGTAACGGAAGATAATGATATTCTTAAAATACCATGAATGCTACAATTTCATCACACACAGTGAACTGAGCCTCACATGCATCACAGTCCCCACCATCAGTTCTTTTCATACAACTCTCAAACTTCATTTTATTGCAATTTTTCTATGGGCACTATTTTAGCTGGGGTTTCTTAGGAAGGCTGAAATGCTAATGATTCATTGAAAGATTAAATCCCAAGGCATCAAGAGTGAGGGAAAGAGGACATGCAACAGGGAACAATGGGAAACAAATACATGGTGATATGTTACCAATCTGCTGCACGGACCTGAAAAGACACAGCCAGTTGCTTGGCCATGTGAACTATTTGTGGACAGGCTCTGTGGAAAACCGCACAGGAACAGTCTATCAAAGCAAGGACAGAGAAAAAATTTACCTGTAAGCTCCCTCCCATCTCCTGTCTCACATTGGCCAAAATCTACCCCACTGGTCGTTAACTTCCCCAGCTTCCAGGCTGTCATTTGACCCCTTTGGCAGCTACTAGGGAAACATATGCCACGCTCTGCAGCCCATGGTATGTGTGCTGGATTGTTCTATAGGCAACTTGGTTATGCTGGAAACTATGGTTCCCAGAATCACCTTTCCTATGTGTTTACAGGTCTGTATTTGTCCGACGGAAAAACTGAAGTTGCTTGAGATTTGGGAGGCAAAAATGAAGCAATAGTCATTACACTCTGAAAGTGACAAAAGACAAATACCTGGATGATGGAGGGCTCTTGTTCTCTCACTCTTCCCTGCTGTGTCCTCCCCTGCCGAGTAACTGTGAGCTTGGTAGGGCTAACAGACTCTTCACAGAAACTCACCAAGGCTCACAACCTTCCACAGACTTGTATACCAGCCCTCCCTGTGGCCCTGCTACAGCCTAGCTTCCAGATTTCCTGGCAAGTTCAGACTCCTTTGCCTGTATCAGGACTGGTCTCTGATCCTTCAAAAATCCCTTTTCAGACTCTTATTCCTCATCTCCTCCCACAAATGGGAAGGAGGTCTAATTCCTGTAATAAATTCCTTATGCAGTGTGATCATTATGGTTCAGCTTCCCTGATTGAACCCTGTCTGCTGGGGGCTTAAGCCTGGGGCTGATCTGCTTCAGGGCACTCACACTGCCAGCGGCACCTGAAGGCAGCTGAGGCAGGACAAGTAGCTCAGAGTCCTGAAGAAATATGAGGCCAAGAGAATCTGAGAAATCTCACCCTCTAGCTGTGCCCTATACAAGTAACAAAAATATTCATAGTTTTGCTTTGTGTTTGTTCATTGAGAGTATTCAGCCTTTAAAATATTTTTATTATTACTATATTAACCTACTTTGATGAATTACCTTCATATTAAAAGTAAACAATGGCTTATTTTACCTTTGTTGAGATGTCATTTTGGCTTCCTGAGTGGAAAACAATAAACTAAATCTCAGTTGGAAAATTGTGACCAGTATCTTCCCCCAGTGATGGAAGCATCTCGAGTTTCCCATTTTTGTTATAAATTTGAACATTCCCTTTGTAGGTTTTTTTTTTAACAAATTGACCACTTTTATGATACTAAAGGAACCCAATGAGAAAATCAAAAGGCAAATTCTTTGAAGCAATGAGTTCTAGCAGGAAGGGAGAGATGTTACCCAGTGCTTCTAGGGTAAGACTCTTTGTCCAGCTTGGTGCTGACTTTGAATTTGTGCATCCATTTTCCCCCGATTTCTACAATGCTTTCTAAAATGTACGTATATTCTTGAAACTTTCCTTACCAAGAATATTGCCGTCAAGAACTCCTAGGTTAGCTCAGAAGCCTAACCTCCAAATCCCAAACTCCATTTAGTCCTAAATCCTTTATTCCCACAACTGTCATGATCTTCCCAGATGACTTGCTGATCCAACCCAGACAACATGGTTTTATCCAATTCAGAGTCAACCTTTCATTCAGAGTGCTTATCAGAGTGGCTAAAAAGATAGAAAATTGGGATTTTTTGAGTTCATAGGTTTTAGGGTTTTTTAAAGTTTTTGGTACCTGTTTCATTCGTTGAATCCAATAAATATTTATTGAATGTTTGCTATGTGTTAGGCATTATTCTGGGTGCTTGAGATATCAATGGACCAAACATGGAGCTTACCCTCACAGAGAGTACATTCCAGCAGGGGGAGACAGACAATAAACAATAGGCCCAAGAGATAAGTAAATTAACAGTTAATTAAAAGTCGTAAGTGATACGGTAAATTTTTAAAGTTGAGCAACTTAAGAGGAATAGAGGTAGGTTGCCAAACTACAATATTAAATAAAGTGATCAGTCTGAGCTGCCCTGAGAACATAACACTTGAGCGAAGATTCGAAGGAAATGAGGAAGTCAGGCCGATGTTTTGGAGTGAGAGTTTCCCATTTCAGCCAGAGAGGCCAGCAGCTGCAGAGCCCACAGAGAAGCATGCTTGGTGTGTTTCAGGAAGGTTAAGGAGGCCACAGTGCCAGGAACAGAATGAGCAGGGGAGACTGGTGTGAGGAGAGAGAGGAAATGGGGCCCAGATCATGTAGGGCCTGTAGGCCATTGTGAAGACTCAGAATTTTATCCCCGAATGAGATGGGCGGGCATCAACCACAGGTTCATGCAGTGGAGTGAAATGATTGGACTTAATGTTTTAAAAGAGCTACTCTGCTGTTGTGTGAAAAATAGCCTCTAGGAGAGCAAGGATGGAAGCAGGGAGGCTTAAAGGTACCTCAAGGCCAGGTGGTAGAGTGCAGGTAGTAAGAAGTGGTTGAATTCAGCATACATTTTAAAGGTAGAGCCAACTGGATTTTCCTGGTGGACTGGATTGTACTTGCTGATAAACATTTGTATGAGTTTTATTGAGACATACTTTCATCATATTCTTCACTTGTTGGTGAGATTGTGGGGAGGAAATGCAGGGCCCTGCTGCCTCCAGATACCAGGGAATGCTGATCACTGGCAAAGATCCTAAGTAAGTGCTGACCATTGTAAGTGCTGATACCATTTTCTGCCCAGCAACACTGTAGTGCTCCATGACTTGAGCTTTCATAAAATACACACACATACACACACATTCAGACACACACATTTTCTTAGAAGAAATTTTATGGTTTCAGGACTTGCATTCAGGTCTTTGATCCATTTTGAATTTACTTTTGTGTATGGAGTTAGACAATAATCCAGTTTCTTCTCTTACATGTAGCTGTCCAGTTTT